GCATGTTTTCACTCAAATGCCTTAAGAAATTTGGTTCATATCTTTTTTCTTTATCTATTTTCACATCATGTTGTTCCCTGCATGTTTCCTGTTTATATGCTGCTGCTGTAATGATTTAAATAGTATTTCATATGCTTGCCTGTGCTTGCATCTCCTCTACATTCCTACTGAAAAAATCATCAGATCACATTTCTCTTTGTTGCCCCTTGCTGTTGTGAATGTTGATTATAATCTTTGAATTACATTTTGATGGTATTACGTTTTAAACATGTCACTTTTCAAGTTTCTATTTGGGAAATTACAAGCAATGATGCTATTAAATGTATAAAATGTTTATTAAGCAACTGGTAACATTTGAAATGTGCAGAGCTTTGTAAGTTTTCCCCAAATTTTTGACAGATATTTTAGATTTTGGTCCGTGTGTACAATAAAAAGAGGTATATTGTATTTTTTTTTCACCATGTTCTCTCATCTTTGATCTATATTTAATTCTGTAAAATATATACTTTTTGGTGTATTTTGGGACATTTTAAGCATTTATAACAGACAGTAGAGAGGTGACAGGAAGGTCCCAAGCTGGACCTGAACCAGGGATGTCTGCAAGTCTGTCTTAAAGCAATAATCAGATGCCCAAACGAACACTGGAACAGGTTTTTCTTGCTAGATTCATTCCTCTTGTTCATACTGGACATTAAAAGATCCCTTTAAAGGACCAGTGTGTAGGATTTAGTGGCATCTAGTGGCATAGTCGCAGATTGTAACTTGTTTGACCCTCTCTTTACAACCACAAGGGAGACACTACTGTGGCTGTGAAATGTGCAAAACATGCAAACAGCCCTACCTAGAGCTAGTTTTTGGTTTGTCTGTTCTGGGTTACTGTAGAATCATGTCGGATCAACATGGTGGCCTCCACAGAAGATGACCCGTCTGTTGATAAAACCTCTCATTCTAAGGTAACGAAAACAGAACTATTATTATTTTCAGGCGATTACCTATGAATATTATATTCCATTTCTGCCAATAGATCCTCCTAAATGTTACACACTGGACCTTTAATGTGCTTTCAATGTAATGAGGGTCAAAATCTGCAATCCTCAATTTGTGGAAAAAGTACAAAATCCTCTCTTATTCACATCTTTCCACTGTAGCTCAACAGGGAAACACTGTCCAGTGAAACAAAAGGAGGGATTTTTTTTTACTGAAAAGACAGTAACTTTTGTAAACATCCACTTGACTAACTACCTCAGGATGCTCATATTAGCTTCAGACAAACTTCTGAATACATTTTTGCATAGAACTTTAGATGTTCCCCATCACTTATATTGAAAGCACATTAAAGAAATATTTTAATGGCCAGTAAAAACAGGAGGAATGATTAGAGCAATGTGGGCACCTGACTATTGTTTTGAGACATTAATGAGTGTGAACCTATTATATATTCCTTTTGCTTTTTCCTTTTATTCCACACATTTGTTAAAAGGCCTCCATGTAACTGTGATATATTGTGAAACTGAAAGAGATTATCTTATTCCCTGCTCCTGTAAAATGAGGATAAGGTGGCTTACAGCACAGCACACCAGTTGGCATGATTCATCAGTGATTTCCTAAATGACACTTGCATGTGCAGATCGGATGTTTGAAACTTCTTTGAATTGTAACTCATTAAGAATGGTATCCACATGAACCATCTCATCTCAGGGGTGTGGTCGCTGAGTCATACCTGTGGGCCTGGAACATCTCTGAGGGAGGTGTGCCAGCAGGCCTGAACCCAGTTCCAGTGAATTCATCTCTTACTCCCACTTTACACCAGTAAAGCTCCATTGCACCACTTCAACTCCATGTGTCCAAACAGGGCAATCAACCAGAAGATTTCAAACTTAAAATCTAAAAAGTCTATACATCTAAAAATGCTCCCACATTAAGAAAGTTTATTTAGCAGATTGATATAAACTGTCAGCCTGAAGTAGTAATCAGTCAGTAACTGGATAGTCTTACAGAAGGAGCTTCTAAGGAAAAAAGAGGTTTTGGATAGTTTCCTTGCTTTTCTTGTTCCAGGAGCTGCCGGGTGCTGCAGGATGTAATAGAAAAACTGAGGTAAGGGCAACATGTCTGCAAATGTTGCACCTGGATGATCGATTTCAAAGGCACAGGGATTGACTGCAGATGTAACACATAGTTTGCATTTACAACAGAAACCAGTTTAAAATATCAATAAACATGAGGCAAGTTCACACCTTCAGGGATACAGAGAATATAAGATCAAGGCCTGCTGCTGCTGCCCCGCTGTTCAGTCTATACTGCAAGTTTCACTGCTTTTTCTCTTACCACTGTAAACCAATTCAGCCGGCCTGATGGTTTACTGTCAAAGGGAATTTTATAGATTGTACAAATAAAACAAATGTAATGTAACTGAAAGTCATATTGTGTATTTTACCTGCAGTCTAGAAAGTAAATACTGTAAATACTTTAGTGTTATTATTATATCACAGTAAAATCCTCATAGACTTTTTGGTGGTTAATTATAAATGGACTTATTTAGCGCTTTTCTACTCTTCCCATTTCTCAAAGCGCTTTACCCTACATGTCACATTCACCCATTCACACACTGATGGCAGAGGCTGCCAAGCAAGGTGCCAAATACTCACTAGAAACTAACTAATCCCATTCACACACTAAAACACAGATGGCACAGAAGCCTTGGGAGCAATAAGGGGTTCAGTATCATGCCTAAAGACACTTTGACTATACCTCCTGAGCCACAGCCACCACACATTATAGTCAATTGTTAACATGCTACTAACTACTTCTGAAGTGTATTACACTATTCAAATTCCTGGAAGTGAAGCCTTAAGCTGTCTTTAAAGGGGTAGTTTGTTTTATTTTTAAGTGGAGTTGTATGAGTAACTCATCCATAGTCAGTGTATTACCTAAAGTAGCATGCCTCCAGTTGGAGAAGCAGACAGGAGTACCAGCACAGAAGTCATTATAACGCTCTCTTCAAAGCCACCAGTCTCTTTTGACATCAGTTTCAGTTTCTCATTGTAAAGGTAAAGCAGTGAAAATATTCTAAATATATATCAGATATTTTTAGGCAGGCCTTTTTAGGTGGCTAAAACACACCCATCCACAGCTGTGCATTGCTTAGCTTCCGTGCTGCTACAATACAAGTGCTCGTACAACCCCACTTAAAAAAATCCAAAACTATACTTTAAAGTCAAAACACATAAAACTAACTGACACAGAGAAGAAGTCAGACACTGTTAAAGTCAACAGCATCTTCTTATAGCACTGGCTGAGTTCCCCCCTCAGAGACACAGAGTCTATAATCCGTAGTTGGTTTACTGTAATTACTGAAGACATGAAGCTGTAATCATGACTCCACCTCATCCAACCTCCCTGTCTGTCTCCTCAACTCACCTTCTCTTCTGTTTCCCAGGAATACGACTTTCCTTTCCTTAAAGTTTCTGTTCTCTTTCCTTTTAAAAACACATTATTTAATGACACATCCAGGAAAATGTTACATAAATCTGAACCACCATGTGTCCAATTCAAATTCAAATTTGTAGTTCAGTTGTAGACAATGAATCATGGAGCTGCTCTGTAGAACATCTTATAATTTGTTGCACTCAAAGCATTAGTGGTATGAAAATACATCCATGATGCGTGAGAAAGTGAGCAGTGTGGCTTTTACAACTTGGGTGATCATGCTGCTGGTTGTGAAATACAGCGACAATGCTGTCCTGTTGTTTGACACCAGCACTGATCAGACATGTACACAAATAATATTAAATTATCTATGAAAAAACAAACAGAATATAATAGCTGCACCAATTTCAACAACACTGTCTGAAACGTTAAACAAAGGAATCTTGCAAGATTTATCACAACTTTATAACCTTCAACCCTTTCAACGGAACAGGTTTAAAATAACACATACAGTTCACATTGTACAGCATATAAAGGAGGCTTACTGATCTAACAAAGACCAAACTATAAATCTATAAAAGCCAGTTCATGTTTACTTTGGGCCGGGCTTTTCAAAATGAGCTGCCTTTTGAATTTGTGTCATTCCTACCAGTAGACTTTTTACCCCAGTACGTGCCTCACACAAAACAGATGTGCTATATTTACTGTGGGTTATTGTATTTCAATGACGAGTACAAAGAAAATACTTTTATTTGGGTGTCACAGAACAAATAGCTCTTGAACGTCTGAAACCATGATGTAAAACATAATTACATGATGTCAAATGGAAGGAAGAACATTGTAGTAAGATAATACAGGAGGCTTAAATGGTTTAACTTGATTTAGGAATTTTTTCTATGATAATGGGATTTCATTTCATTTTATGCCACACCTGCCTAAAACAAGTGCAGACAGGAAAATACAGTCTGTTGTCACTTGCATTAAGTTAATATTACATGTGAGGAAGTTTCTTTAAGAGCTTTTAAGAACTTTCCTGTAGATGTATGCTCTTAATGAAGAACTGTTGATTAAAGCTCCAGTGTGTAACATTTATGAGGATCTATTGGATCTATGGAATATATTATTATAGGTGTCTTTTCATTATCACCTGAAAATAAAAATTGTTGTGTTTTAATGGTGTTCAGTTGGTTGAAATCTGCAACTTCACTGCTAGATGCCACTAAATCCTACACACTGGACCTTTAAGGTTCTACAAATCTAATAAATAATCACAATGTTGTCACATTGTCACAGCAACATTGTTGGATGCTGAAAGTAGGACACTATGAGCTGATGTGCCAGACTATGCCACCAAAGGTAAATGAGTTCAGTCATAGGCCAACACAGTAAGTGGCAACAGAGCCACCTGACATGTGACAGGACTGTTATCAAACAGGACTATATCCTATTTGCAGGTCTGACTTAGCTGCAGCGCCTTGGAGGCAGATCACAGTTTCTGGAGGTTCCCGGTGGTGCTGCACTGTTACGGACTGAGACATTGCTGGAAAAATGGGGGAGACGTTAAACAAAATTTGTTGAAACTAGACAGATGAAGAGAGACGGCATATGGGATCATTCTGGAAGAAGCTCAGGCAGGTGACTGAGGACAAAATGCTGTGGTTCAGCTGCACTCACACCAAATGTTTGCCGGATGAAGGAGTCATCAACTTCTCTGAGGTCAGACACAGTTTATTTCTTCAGTAAATCATTAAGTCATTATCATCCCTGTAGACCCCCAGGGTAAATACATACATAAATATTTTTTATCTGGATTTATTCATCTTACACTCTGCCCATAACCTATAGTAGGCCTATATAACTGCCACTTGTGATATATTGCAAAATATGAAGCTTTTTGGGTTTTATTCCAGGCAGTTATACAGTTTATTACCAGTCTGGTCCGTATATATAACTAGTGCTGTTTTGTCCACTGGCACATTTAGAGACATGTTTTGATGATAAACAATCCGTGTCATGGCAATATAACAACAAGATAAGATAAGGCGAACTGAGATAATATTTAATTGATCCTCAGCAGTGAAATTTAGCATTTCAGTAGCAGGAAAAGCAGGTCAAGGAAAAGATCATGGAGGAAGGTAGGGACTGAGTACAGATACATTAAGAAGAAAAAAATAGGAAAACCACATTACAACTACAGAAGCTTTAGATGGACCAGTATGTGTATACAGCAACAAAATCCATTGTGGATTTTTCTTGAAGTGCTGATAATTAACAATATATAAGATCATTCAAAATGGTGTCTGGAGACCAACAGGGGTCTTTTGAGTGGGTTGTAGGGGGTCCTCAGCAAAAGGAGGAATACAATATTTTATCACTTTTTTTTAAGTTGCAACAACAAGATAATAAGATTGTTTACATCAATTGTAATTTATAGTGATTCTAGCTTGGTCATTGATTGACTAGGAAGACTTTTGAACCATGAAACCCCTGTATCATATATATATATGAAATGCATATTTATATATAAATGTGTATATTGGGAATAGCAGAATAGGGGAAAGTTTCCAGTAAAAAGACCTATTGTACAAATAAATTAATACAAAATGTCCACAATGACTTCTGCTTCCTGCATCCTGATTTATTATTCAGTACATTCCATTTTAATGAGGCGCAGGCATGTTGAAGACCTGCAGGGTTCAACTTTAGTACCTGGACAGACAGGCAGACACAGAGAGAGAGAGAGAGAGAGAGAGAGAGAGAGAGAGAGAGAGAGAGAGAGAGGGACTCCTCTTCACTGTATGCGTGTTTATTGAAGTCGATTGCGAAGGAAAAAGGAGATGTAAAGTATCAAACACCGACAGGCAGGAAAGGAAACCTGTCGATATTTTTTAATTTCTATTTCATTCAATCTACTTTTCCAACTTTCCCTGAGAAGATGAGCGCTGGAGTCACGCGGACTGGTGAAAATGGAGAAGAGGACAACAAAGCTAACGTGAGTGATGAATACAAAGACACAAATCCCTGTCTGGTATAACAACTTAAATGTATCTGTGGTACGAAATAATACAATTATAGTGACTTAGACCCACTGTACAGTATATGTATGTGTATATGTATATGTATATATCTAGTGGACTTTATTACAATATGAGGTTCACATAATGTTGGCTCATTGTCCAACAGTATCAGAGGACTTGGACTGTTGTCTTCTACATAATTACTGAGCTCATTTTAAAAAGAGTTATTTGGTGTATCTTTATAACTGACATGAGACATTTGAAATAAGATTGTTATGACATGAAAAAGATAAATTTACTTTTCATCAAATAAGTCAGAATACATAAAAATAAAACAAGTAATTCAATGATGAAATACATAGTTACTTACTCATGTTTTGGAAGAGTTTGAGTCGCAGTATTCAACACACCTGTGATTTTTCCTTCTAAAACACACGTGATAGCAAACACTGTGTCATATGTTGTGTGATTAAGCATTAACTTTAGTTTGTGTGTGTGTGTGTGTGCGCGCGTGTGTGTGTTTCAAGGCAAATTAGATTATCATAGTAAGATGATCATGGCAAACATCCAACATTATCTTTGATGAGGCTGAAACGAGCCTCGGGCTGTCAATCTGGTGGCATTAAATTTACACTTCGACATACTTTGGTCTTGTAATATCTTGAAGACATGGCTCCATTTCAATCAAATGACTGTGATTTACAAAGTGAATAAACCTTTTTCACAGCAGGTGTTACCAGTGATACTAATGAAGGACTGTTTGTTGGACCTTCAGTGTGTCATTGGTAACACTTCCTGTTTACTATTTCATGTGAAAAATCTATTACCTGATAACCTTTATCTGAACGAGAAGTAACACCAAACGGAAACACTTATGTGAATACTTGTTGCATAAGTTGAACGTCACTTACTGAATGCTTATCATTAACTTTCCTCACAGAGTTACTGTGGGTCACTGTGTTTATGCCACTTCAACTGGAACTTTAACCTGCTTTCTGCTTGTTCAGTGTGGAGCTCATATCAGATCTTGATGTGTTAGCGCTTTCACAGCACACTGTAACTTGTGATTAGAATGAATTGATATGTTGAAACAAGCAAGGTCTGAACGCCCTAATTCAAACAAATTGAATCATTGTACCCTCCATTCATGTTTTTATTGATTAAAAATAGAAACATTGTGTGTCATTCTGTAACTTTATTAAGTTGATCCTTTGTTAAGGCTCCATTAAAACAACATTGAAAACAATGTAGTATTTACAGATTCCACTGCAGGAGTTCCAAAGAAGGAATTAAGAAAGTGCCAAGACTTGTTGGATTGTGCAGGTAAACAGAAGTATCCTCTTTTCATTGGCAGTCAAATAATGTTTGTTTTTCTTTGCCCTGGATCTTATTTCAGTAAAATGCATCTGACTCTATAACTCCAACTCAACAAAACCTGCTCTGTCACAGTTTGTTGCAGTGTTGTCATTACAAACTTACCTGCAGATACCAAAGTGTAATTGGCTGTTTACCAAAGTGACACAGATAAGAATTTGTCAGATGAAAGGTTAAACGTTAACTAACTTTTTTTTTATCACAGTTAAAGTCATCCATAGGCCTAAACCATTGAGTCAATAAGTGTTATTGTCATAATGGCATATGCGCACAGTGCCAGGTGCATGAATGAACAGATCATTAGTTTATACAGATTTTTGGCAGGTAGAGGAGACATACATAGTCGTGCCTAGACTAATACGCACATGTCAAATGAATTTGTGGCATCTGTGATGAGTGGAGGGGAATAACTTGACTTGATCAGGTGGATACTATGGATTCACTGGTTCTTTTACACAGCAATGACACTCTCTTGGACATAGCTAAGGGGCATATTTTGGTCACATTTGTCCCCCCACCCCCCCCCGTAATCTCACTATAAACACGAGCTTTGACCTCTTTTGCATCCTGTTCTGCAAACCCCCATTTCCACTGGGAAACCTATTTTATTCCTAAGCACAAGTAGGAGTTAAATTGTCCTTTCTTGACACATAACATTCAAGTTAACGTGTGTTGGCGTGAGAACATGTTGGCAAGAGCAAGAATGGTCCAGGCAAGGATATTATAAAAATAGCTTAGCTGGATTGTTGTGTTCTCTTCTCTACAATATACTTACATGGCAACATAAGACAGATCCACTCTAAGCCTTCTGTGTGAGACACCAACATTGTTAAATGGCATGTTTGCACTGCTCACATAACCACAAAAGGATAAGTAACCATAAATATATACAAATAGCTTTATACAAAACAGCGTGTTTAGTACACACGTGCACAAACTGGAAGTCTGCTCTTTGTGTATAAAAGATGAAACATGCATGTTTGTGTTATGTAGGACACACAATGTCATACATTTAGAATATAATACATTATGAAACAATTAGTCATATGACAGAACTTAATTACCAACCATTGCAATAATCAAAGTCTTTCAGTCAACATTCAGTGGTTCCAGCTTCGGAAATGTGATCACTTTTGCTGGGTTTTATCAGTTTTATATCATTGTAAATTGAACATCTTTGATTGGTCTGACAACACAAGCAATTTGACTTTTTTTCCAACACACAGATACTCAGTTTGCTATCATAAAAGACATGGAAACAATTGGACAAGCTGGAACCACAGAATTTTGACCTATCAATTACTAGTTGACAAATTGTTACAGTTTGAAACAATGACTTTTTAATAGGAAAAAAAGTATTAATTGATAATGAAAATGATTGTAAGTTGCAGCCTGTAATACACTTAAAATAAAACATATTAAATGATAGACTGTTAGATTTAAGATAATGTCAATAATGCTAGTTTAATGAAAGCATTTAACGAAGAGACTTTCAGATAGTTAGAGACACACAGACGCAAGCATGAACGTATTTGGACTGTGGCATTTGACATTTGTTTGCACAGTTTTGTTGACACTGCACACACTCACTGTGCTAGTGACTGTTATATAAAGAAGCTTCATTAATCTCTCTTATGTAACTCTCAACACACATTCCTCAGAGTGCTGCTACCTACCACTGTCACCATGTGGCAGATAAATGAACCCTTCTTCATTCCAGAGTTTTATCTATTAGTCACTTATTATTGTGTTTAAGTTATATATTACTGTGTATATTTGCATAAATTTTAGGCTGCACCTAACTGTTTAGGTTTAACCTAGTCACTCATTTACGCTGATTGATTGAGACTGTGAATTCAGTCTGATTATCAAACTATACAGTTTATATTCACCATCGACAAACTTCTTTGCTCAGGAATGTATATAATCTAATCAGAGAAATGTTCCCTCCAGTTCTTTCCATTGTGTATTTGGCATCGTAGTCCTGCAAGGGAGGCTAACAACTATGTGCCTTCTTGGACTGGCACTGTAGCTCTCTGAACAGAGAACAATCTGGAGGAAAAAAGGGTTGGGCAGCTGGTGGAGCCTCACCCAGCCATGTAAGGCAAGACAACCGTGGCTTCCCACGCACTTAGTCACACGAGTACAGACAGTCTGGATCACAGCTGCCTGAACATCATCTGGAAGCGTCCCGTACAGTTTCGTCTGCCCAGGTAGATATCAGAGTGATCCTATGTGAGATAAAGTACAGGGTTTGCGTTTGGGTTTGTAGGGTGTAAAGTGCATGCTGGTATGGTGGTTGTAGTTGTGTCAGCTTTATGAATGACATTGTTTGTTATATGATTCATTCGGGTATGTCTTTATAGTGAACTTGTAATACTCAAAATGAAGGGCTAGTTTCCTACACACAGATTAATATAGTCCAAGAAGAGATACTTGAGAATATGATATACAAAAGGAGACATTCACTTACTTTATATGGACTGGATGATTTATACAACAAGGCACTAGACTAACATCATTTTGTTCACTCTCAATTTATGTAAATTCATCTTCATTATATTTTATTTGGGCAAAGACAACCTGAATACAAACATTGCCAATGCGTTGACTTGAGTATCAGATTAAATGCAACTTTAAAACTTTTTAGAGTCACCTCCCATTTGTCAGTTACTTCTTGCGCTCTGGGAAAAATGATTCATTTTTTTGTTGTATTGGTGACACATACTGTTGGCATTAATCACAAGGGAAGAGTTTATAATTAACATGTTTGACGTGTGACTGTTTAGAGCTGTTATCATGTTGTTTTAGGTGTTTAATGACTTTTCTTATACGCGTGTAGCCATGTTGCTTGGCAATAAAGCTACTTTGTTTTGACTGCACTCAGAGATGGATGGATTTCACACTTTGTTGTGATCTTTGTTGGCACTTAGAACAGGAATTTAGAAACTCGTGTTGGTGTAAATAGCTATCTACTATCTGTGAATATACACAAAATAATTTCATACATATTATTCATATTTTATGTCTGGTTGATCCTTAATTTGTTGTTCTTTGTTATCAGTCAACAGAGTACAGCAGTGATATCATCTCCAAATCTGTAAACAAGCATGGAGGAGTTTGTAGCTCAGTAACAGGGATTGGATGGTCCTGTATTGATTGTGGGAGGTCACTGATTGCATGAGGATGTTCTTGTAGCCCAGACACTGAGGTGAAGCAGTGAGGTCACCTCTAAATCAGTAAAGATGAGTCATGTTAGACAGATGATCTGATTTGCAGTCTTGTTGATATCTTTCTCTAACTATCAGAGATAATAGGATGTTACATCCTGTACTGTACTGTACTCTGCTTCACTCCGATGCACAAATTAAGTCTTTCCTTTCCTTTTAAACCACATTATTCTTATGCACTATCCTCTTTTATTATGCATCTACTCAACTTAGTCATAAATCACTGTACCTTACAGCTGAAGCAATTGAAAGTTAATTAATTGATTAGTCAGAGTATTAATGGTCATAATTTGATAATTAGATTAATTGTTGAAGTCATTACTCAAGCAAAATGCCAAATATTCCCCAGTTCCAGTCAGACTTTCTGCTTT